TGGTATACCCTGCAGTGAACCCGAGCAGGTTGGCGGCGCTATTGGGGTTTTTTGCTATTGAAATGCAGAAATCAGCAATATTATTATGTATACAAAGTCACGCATAACCCTATCATTCATGCAGAACTATCGCTTTGATGGGTCGCTTCATTAGGTTTTAGTGCTGTTTTTTTTTTCAATTCGATATTATCATTTATTTATTTTATTTATTTATTTTCCAGTGCAAAGACATTAGAAATGTAGTTTGGATTATATTTTTCATAAATTTTATTACATGGAATCATTATTGATTTTTGATAAATTGTTAGACAGCTCCTCCTTATTAATTACTTGCATTTGAAGTGTTGCCTTCCCAGTAACTTCTAGCTTTATAGAATTATGAAAACTATTTTTAATTAATCATTTTATTAATCTAGAAATTTAGATCTAGAAATTTCTGATATTATCTTATGTTAAAAATAAGGAAAATTAGCAATTTTAACGAAAACATTTATTCCTCGAATTTAGAGTTATTTTTTTTTCTATCTGTGTCTTTATCAAAATAGAAAAATCTAATTTGTAAAAGCAACTTATCTTTTTTATAATCGATCTACAAATCATAATAAAGTCAAATAAATGCTGACTCATGAGAATTCATACCACTATTATATTTAACGTCAAATAAGTATGATAATTGTTATGAACGATATTGAAATGTAACACGAAATATGAAGTATTTATTTTCGTAGCATAATTAATATTAAATAAAATAGGCTGGCTACTTACAATCGATTTTTGATTAATTATTGCATTTCTTTTATAAATTTCATACAATGCGCATTACACTGTTCTAGTTATTTAATCGATTATAAATTATTACATTCACTGTGATTATGACCATACCGACGATATATTAATATGTAGATAATCCAAAAAATACATTCATTTGTATTTGATTTAAATTAATTTTGTTCGGTCTAATTGTACTATATTTATATGTATTTATAAATAGCAATAGTATTTATTATAGGAATTTATTAGAATAAATAAAAAATTTTCTTTAAAATAATTTTATTTAATTATTTCTAAAATATTTACTAAATTTTTGGATATTTAAGGAAAAGGCTATTAATTATACGATATACATAATTATATTGATTATTAAATTGCATATAATTAAATAATTACATTAGGATATTTGATAATTAGTATTTTCGATATTTGCATAAATTGGAATGAACATTCAATAATAAATTATTAAAAAGATAATTTTACCGTATAATTTACAGTGTAATATGGAAATCAAAATTTTGTATGAAAATCAAAATAGTTAAAATATTTATCGAAACACATCTATAAATTATACAAAAACTTTTCATCATTGATTTTTATTTTTATCATTGATATATGAGTGTACATCTGATTGTTTATTATTGTATTATTAATTAATCTAAACTACGATTATCAGGATTTAATTGTTTTGACAATCGTATATATTTATATACATTTTACTCACAATATAAGATAGATATATTTATATATACGAAACATTAAATTTACTCTATTAGTATAAACTAATGGTGTATATTAAATAATAATTAATTATAATATTAAGCTACGGCAAATATTTATTTCTTATTAATAACTTGCTCCATACAAGCAGTGTAAATATTTTCATGTAGCTTTTTTCTTTGATTGATATAATTAATAGACATGAATAATTTTTGCTCATTTTGCTCATAAAAATAATAGCAGAATAAACAAGATGAAAAATTATATTAAATTAAAATTAATGAACATATATAAATTAAATGTAATGAAATATTTTTAATATGTCATTCTTACCTGCACTTTGATTTGACCTTTGTGAACTACTAAGCCGCTACATTCTTATAACTCGAAGAGCTTATGCTAAACAATAATCGAACATGCACATTCCCTTTTTAATGATAAGCCCTTTCTTTGTAAGACGTACTTGAAAAAATAAAAAGAGCGTTCAATTCATCGAATGCATGCAAAAACTCACGCGTTCTACTGGTGCGTTTCTTTTGGAATTGTAGCAAAATTCGAAAATAGCGATCAGCACTGCGAATGCCAGTCCGCATAATAAAACTACGAAAATACCCCCTGGAAAATATATGAACGATTAACAGTTGCCATCTTCTTTCGAGGAATCCTCTTTCATGAGCTAGGAAACTTGTCTACTTATTAAGCTAATGTTTCCGGTTAGTAAAATGTTAACGAACAAATTCTGATGTTTTATGAAAAGTCATATAATACAACCAACCGAATTAAGTTTGTGACTAACAAAATTGTTAATGAGCTACAGTAATTTGAAATCTTATTGAATGCCTTTAACGAGATGTTCTCAAGTACGTCACCTTTTGTTACGTAAATAAAACAAGTTTACTTTTTGTTCATGACTTAAGATTCTATTCATCAGTGTAAATTGACTACTTTAATAGTAAGAAGCATATATACCGATATTGTCTACCCCTAATGCATTAGCCTTACTTCCTTTACCCTTCTCATTTCTCATACACATATCGCTTGGACTTTTCCACCATTTGTCGTAAAGTATTTGAATTTCACCCTTTTCTTGGAGTTCTAAAATGGCTAATGAAATTTTATCTCTCCATGGCGAACCTAAAATAAAAATTTCACTGTTATGTCTAAGAATAGCATTTTATACTTTATTATACAATTTGTTCTATTTTATGTATCTGACTAGGTATTTTGTTGCACGTTATGCTAATATTTTTAGCTTTTAAATACTATTTCCTCTAGATGAAACTAATAATATAAAATTCAACTCCATGTCGTTCATTTTTGCAATATTTCCATCAAACTTTTAGGGCAAAACTTTTTTATCAGCGTCAGTGAATGGGAGGGAAATATTAATAATTTTTTAGTAGTAGTTTATTACGCAATATTAGCGAGTATCGTTAATACAGTCTAAGAAATAAATTAGCATATTCATTGTTAGTAGGGCAGTTTCATAATAAACGAGTAATTATCAAATTTATAAAATTACTGATTATTCGTTCACATTATATGCCAAATTTGAGGTTGAATAGTTTTATTAAACAAAAGGCTTTTTAAAATGTAAATAATACAAACCCATAGGTGTTGCGATTCCATATCCTTTAGTATCTAGAAGACCGCCAATTTGCGTCAAATTACAGTCCCTTTGAACAATGTAATCCAACATTGTGGACTCCATGAGAAAGGCGTAATTACCCTGCAAAACTTTTTGTATTCCTTCTTCATACGTAGGTACGAAGACCGATGGCTTTTTGTTTTCCATAAATCTCCACATTTTCTTATATGTCTCGATCATAGAATCCTTATTTTGAGCGAATTATTTATTAATTATTCTTTATATTCAATTTACCCCAAAAACTAGGTTGAATAGTAGCTTACTCTAAAGAAGGTCATGGTGCTGCCACTTTCTAGGGTTCCATAAGAAATGTCAGTTTGACTAGCAAGATCCTCGGCGTTTTCTATTGGTGTAATCATCCGTTCTACCGTTAGAAAAGCTGCCAGATTAGCAGTGTACGAGGAAATAATAATTAGCGTAAAAAACCACCAAATGCCACTAACGATGCGAGTACTCGTAGCCTAGCGGAAAAATAAGTTCGTTGACGTATTGTTTAATGTCAAAATTAATGATTAATTTGAAAATAAATAATTGAAGGCATAATATAATATTACATTCATAATTATTATTTATAATTTTAGGTTCAAAGTTATTATTTGACTTTCCTTCGAAATCCCTGTTTATTATTCTATCATTAAAGCACAAGAAAATAGAATAAAACAATTACAAAATTCATAATGTTCTCAGTCTTCTTTTTTCAAATGCAAACGTCTCATTTCTAGAGAATTGAAGGCTATAAATTTCCTTTGGATTGCTCGAAATATCAAATTAAATCGTACGCAAATAACACGATATTGGCTCGTCCAACTAAATGACTAGTGACTTTAGAAATCCCATGTGTACAATGTGTACATAGTAGCCGTATTGAAACAAGACATAAATTTGTAGCAAAGGTTATTTCGCGCAAGACTGATACGCGATACAACCACAACAACGTGGCTGCATCAACGCTTGAAATTTAATTAACACGAATCTGGTTATTTCGACGACTGCTTATTTGCTCGAGCTACAATGATTACTTCGTCGACGCGTCACTGCTTTGCGCGCCTACAATTGTGGCGTCGGCTTGACAGTCACAATTATTACATCGCACGCGTACACAGGCAGCCCCGTTAATCGCCGAGACGCCCTTTTCACTTGTTAAATATCGTTTGGTCCACGTTCACTATCCTCGCCTCCAGCCCGGTTTGCACCCGACCTCCAGCCCCTTCGTCGTCCGCTTCTCCTAATAATGCATTTTACCAATGGTAAGGCACTTTCATACTTTAATACCTACCTTTGGATTAAGATCGCTGCCTTGTTGCATCAAGGTGCCGATTGTAAACCAGAAGCTGTTTGCCAGCGAGAACTGATTTTCCACGATTTCGGATCCCGAGTGACAGGGATGGGGATTGCTCCACTCGTAGGGGCTGAATCGAGCGACCACGAACATCGTTACTGAGACGAGGATGTAGGCGGCCAGTACGTACAGCCAGATTTCAATTGCCAGTGGATTCATGAAGGAGAAGAGCCTCGCCGGGTGGCTCGTTGGTACCTGTAATCCACATGAACACTGGTAAACCATAAATTTATTGTCATTTAATGAGTAAGCTCGAGTGAAATAATGTCCAAGAGATTTTCGTGATTTATGTTAAAGTAATGCAGTTGTTAGCGGTTGGTGTATCGGCTAATTGTTTTGTTGTAGTCTTCTGTTTGTCGTTGCATCTTTGAAGGTTAATAAATAATAGAAATGGCGCGATAATGGAATTTTATCACAGCAAAAGAAGAAGGCCTTCGGTATTTTAATGGCTAATGGTTGTTCGTTTTAGTTAACGAATAATTTAATAATTAAAATAAAATTCAGTTAACAAGAAAGGTGCGCGATACTTTTAACAGTATTTAGTTATAACAAAAACCAAAAAACAAAAGAAACAAAAAAACAAAACAAAAAAAACAAAAAAACAAAAAAAAAAAAACAAAAAAAAACAAAAAGAAAAGAATTCATTAATTTTTAACGGCACTTAAATTTTTAATTCACTGTCTAATGCATAAATCGATAAAAAAAGGTTTATGACTAGAATGAAGTGCGTTGATAAATATCCGAGCTCCATACTTTTTCCATGTCGTTGCATCACAATTCGTTGCACTTAATTCGTTTCTTGTTTGTGTGACATATAAAGTCGATATAGAATAAAATGCATAGAGTGACGAGGACAAGTGTATACAGATTTCCACTACCTATTTTGATAAATATTTCCTTATCCTTATAGTTGAATGCAAGCTCTGAGTCTCTTTAAAGAAAACTTGCACTCAATAATATCATCCCTTTTAAGTTGTAATTCTTATGCTCCATCAAGTTTTATGCCAATAATTAACTTATCGCTGTAAAGTTTCCGCGCTTACGATGAATGATTAATTTAAAGAATCGTTTCGATCCAATGAGTAATAAAGCGCCGACAAAGACTCTTTTGAACTACAGTAGAAATTTATGCAGTCCAATTTCATACGATTTTCAATGACGAGCTTGGTAACTTTGATCCCAACGGATAATGCATTCTACATTATTGAACGAGGATAAAATTAAAAAAATACGCCATCGAGTAATTCATAACTAATGTGTGGAAACGAAAGATATATAATCGGTGAGGCGTAATATGTGGTCATAAATTTCATTGATGCATCGGTCACTAGGGGCAACGCAGACTCGATGCAAAAGGTCAATTCTCGGTAGTTAGTTTAGATGTCCTTTGAGTAAGGTAGTCGTCCAGTTGGTTTTGTTAATTGCGCATGAGTGGTCAATTTGCAGCGATTAAAGGTCTTGTTCGTACACTTCAAAGCTGATTAGAGTCGTGTGCTTTCTCGAGGAGGCCACTTATCGTTACGTAGCATTGTTGAATTTAATATTTGAAAAAATGTAGGTAAAGTCGAGGAAGGACACGATGCATATTGTCCTAAAGTTTCTCTTGAAAGCTCCAATTGCAATGGGTAATTCATCATTCACGTAACGTCTTAAATAAGGAAATTAATAAAATAATAATCTACAGATAGCTTATAGTAGTATCGGTGGTAAGTAAGTATTTATTATAAATATCGATGATTTTGTGTTTAAATTGTCATTTTAAATTTAAAATTTAAATAATTTTAAATTTCTTTAATAATGAAATTTATATTTTGTATGCATTTGCTTATTTCTATATTTTTCATGATTCATTGTAAGATAATTTCTTGTTATTTTAATATATTTTCTTTTTTCTTTTTTTTTCTTTCTTTATTCTGTTTTTTTCTTTTTTTGACAAATGATAAAAGTCATTTTGTGAAAGTAAATGCTTAAAATGTTTTCAAGCTGATGACAATTTCCCCGTAGCTTTTCTATCGTAACTATGAAATTCTTCAATAGATAAAATTTTTACACCATCCTATATTGTTGTGAATTATTCGAGTGTAAATTTTACGCTTCACATATGTTAAAATTATAAAGGTAAATTTAGATTTTATATTTTTAATATCTTATATTGACACATATTATTGCCACTAATTCTTTAGGTTATAAATAAAATCACTCATCATACTGCTTGATATTTCTATCAACGGTATGTATTTATGCATTAGGTTTACCCAATTAATAAAAGTGAGCACGTAATTATAAATTTTTATTCAATTACAAGAGTCTGGATATTTACATAATATCTAATATATATATATATGCGACTATTATCTACGAAAAAGAAATGGCTGTAATAGGCATTATAAGCTTTAAATATTCCAGTACAAACAATGGGATTATATAAGAATGTGGATGGTCAATGAACATAAAATAAATCGCGAGGTGCTGCATCAGAGAGGCTAACAGTCTCTCGAAAATAGACAGTGTTTAAAACACAAAAACAAAATAAAAACAAAAAAAAACATAAAAAAACAAAAAAAGAAGAAAAGCTCCGGGCAAAGTTTAACATAGTCATGTTGCGGCGCAGTATATTTGCATGATGAGGAGCTCGTGTGGAATAATGTGCAACCGCGCAACGAGTCACGTTTTATTATGAGTTATAAGCGCGCTGGCGGTCACGTACCCCCCGAGCTCATCAACCTCCCGCTGCTTTAAGGAAGTTTATTTTATCCGGACTACCTCGAACGAGGGCTAATTGCTGACGAGTAACGAGTCGTCGTCGAATCCTCGCGGGAGCCGACTTTTAACGCGGAAAAACCATTTCGTCGACGTCACTTTACATCTCTGCGCTCGTTCGTCTTATTTTCCTCGTCCCATCCCGCCGCCTCTAACCGCTGTCCCAGATATCCGCTTGAAATTTCTAATTGATTTTACCTTGAACAGGATGGAAATTCCCAGATTCATAAAAGGCTTTGTAAAATCGATGACACTCTCCCGGGCATAGTTGATGGTCATGGATCCGACCGCCAAATCCGCTTTCTGTAAAAATAAAGCGTTAAAAATTCATTTCACATTTCTTGGTACATTTTGAGGAAGACGCTCGAAACGACGTCTTCGTGTAATTGTATTTAGTGATGTAGTGGAAAGAGTATGGAGCATTCGGGTGAAATATTAACTATTCTGTCTCACATCCCCGGAATAAATTCAAATCTCTCTACGACGCTCGGCAGTTTCCGCATAAAATCGATAATTTACAAAAATCTTATCGTTATATTATCTAGCCACTACAATGTAGATTTGTATATATTTTAGAAGGCTTTAACTCTTCCATAACAGCGACTTACATTTATCGCGGCATTTTGCCCGCGAAAACTTTTAACATACTTGTATAAAGCCAAAAAATGTAAAGCTATAATTTTTTTTTCTGGGCGGAAGGGGGGATCCGCAAAATTTATGGGTAATACTAGCGAAGATGTAGCGTTCCTCCTATGATTTACGACTATTCCATCCCCCGAACGGTATAAGCTCCGTTTAAATTACTCTTAGGGAATAAACTCGGATGGTACGGTAATCGGCAGCCCCGTGTACTCGCGTCTGATTCATCATCGTCCGGCTTGCGATGCCAAGAGAGTGTGACTGATAGGTGGGCCCATTGTATTTTTTCATTTCACATGGCGAATACTTGTGAGTAGTTGAAATATGAGGGGCTTTCTTAGGGGAGGGGGGGGGGGGGGGGGCCCT